TTTTTGAGTTTTCAAATACAAGCAGCATGATAAGACTTTCTTCACCTTTGAATAACATGTTTTCTACTTTGTGTTTAGTGAACCCATTCTTCACTAAATGTTAAGAGGGAGAGCGTCATACCATGCTCTTGGAGTTTGCTTGATTCCATAGAGCGCTTTCTTTAATTTGAACACCTGATCTTCCTCTCTATTGATTTTAGATCCAGGAGGCCTCTCCACGTAGACCTCCTTTTCTAGTAGACAATTCTTGGGAAGGCATTCTTCACATCCATTTGATAGTCTGTGAGTTGCTCATGGGCAGCATGTGCTAAGAATATCTTTGTAGTTTCAAATGTGCAACTGTGGCAAGGGTTTCATCAAAATCTATTCCTTCTTCTACCCTTTGTCCATCAATTTTGCTTTCTTCTTAACAATGATGCCTTCCTTAGTCACCCTTTTTGTTCCTATCATATGTTGATGATAGGGTCTGTATACAAGCTTCAAGGATTGTTCCTGTTGAACTAGCTTGTATCTAGTCGGAAGTTTGTAGGGCTACTTTAGTCCTTTTGGGTTCTGTTTGAGAGTAGAAGCAAATATTGCTTCTTTCTGGATTGATGATCTTGTACGAACCCCTTTGATGATTTCATCAGTGTTTTGATGAGGAGGATGCTGGTTGAATCATCTTGTGTCAGATGTTTGAATGAACTGAGTTACCTGCTCATCCTCCTCTTCTTCTTTATTGTCTTCGGGTAGAGTAAGAGGATTGGGATTATTAAGCCTTGTGCTTAATTCAGCTGGAGCGTCTTGAAGAGTTGATTTTAGAATGAGTCAGCAGCTCGCAGTGTCGTATATTTTGAGTCAAATGCTGGCAGCGATCTTTCATTTGAGTCACCTGCTAGCAGTGGTCTGCTCTTTGAGCCACCTACTGGCAGTTGACTGCCATTTGAGTTAACTGCTGGCAGTGGGCTGCCATTTGAGTCAACTGCTGCTCCCAGACTCCAATCATTCTTTTTGTTGATTTTTGCTGGGAGAGCAGCTTGGAGCCTTTCCAGTATCCTTCTTTCTTCTACTAGTTAGCACAACTTTGTTGTTTTGGACATCTCTGATCAAGCAGATGTCCATGGAGACTGTCACATTGTATATGTTATCGCGGAGCTGGCTTGTGCTTTATGAGTTTGAACTTCAATCCCATATGATATGTTTTGGATTGAAGGACTACATTTGATTGGATTTTCCATCTCCTTTAGTTTCTGCTTTTTCTTCCTTATTCCCAAAGGTTGCTTTGGGTCCTTCTCCAGATCTACAGCATTGACAGTAGCCTCCTGCTGCCTTTCATGTGCCTGGAGCAGCTTAAATATTTTATATCATTCTTGTAAGTTGGCTGCTCCAGCACCTTCCCGTTTTTGTCAACTTTGAGTAGCAGCCCACAAGTTAGTGGGCATCTTCCTTTGAATAGGTTTGGGCATCCATGCCCTTCTAGAACCATTTGGATCTTAGCTGATGGATCTATAGCCATTAGGAGTATTGTAATCATAAGGAATGACTATGTATTTGTGAACATTATTCCTTATGAAAGGGGAAAGGAATATGTGTATTAGAAGTGATCAGCTTTTTATGTGGAATGTAGTTGGTCCTTTTGATTGGTGGCCAACCAATTCTTTGATTTTGTTGGTTATTTTGGAAGTTGGGTTTGTAAGGAAGTTTGGTTTTTGTTCTGGGAGAGGACTGATTCCTTTTATTTGACAGAGTTTAGGAGTGGGGTTTTTGTTGGTTTGGTTTTCTTGTTTCTTGTTGATCTGTGGTGTGTTTTGTGATAGGAGAGCATTCGGGAGAGTCTTTCAATGGTTGGGATAAAGGTGTGTATCCTAATCCTGTGTTCTTCCAGTTGTGTTGAAATTTCTCAGCAATAGGGAGAGAGAGAGAGCTCAGCCTTTCTTTTAAACTCATGTTTTCAAGTTCAAGAAAATCTTTCATTTTTATTACTTCACCCATCTGAGCTTGGGCTACTATTAGACTTTCTTGAAGTCTACAATTTTCGTTCATTAAAAGAAGGTGATCTTTTTGAAAGTTTTCAAATTGATGGAGCAATGCTTCCATATCAACACAGGAACAGCTGGAATCAAATGAGCTGTTTGAAAAACAGGATAATACCTTATCATTGTCATTTTCATTGAATCTGGCCATGGGGCAGTTGTGAGAGGAGCTATCAACTTGGTGTATTCCAAAGAGGCAAATCGGGGCCTCTTCCTTACTTTTTGATGAGCTGCCTTCATCACTTGTACTGATTTGATAATTTTCTGATTGGGTTATTGTGAGCTTATCCCAGATATCCTTGATTTTCCAGTCATCAGATTTGTTCTGGTTCAACAATAGATTATTTGCAAGTTGACTATCCATTTTTAGAAAGTGTTTGGGAAGTATAGTGGTTTGGGATCTTTAGTTCAAATTAGTCAGAAACTAACTCTAGGAACACTCCTCTCTGATACCACTTGATGGTCCCGGATAGAGGCAAAAGTCTAGAGGGGGTGAATAAACTTTTAAAGCCTTTTCAACTTTAAAAACTTTTCCCTTCTAGATGAGTTGATCTATAATCTTTTGGGAGATTTATAGATGCACAGCGGAAGTCTTTAACCTCTTAGATAAATAGTGTATAACAACTTTCTATGATGGATGAAGTTTGGGCTTTATAAGGTGAGCAGTTGGCTTGGCAGTTGGCTAGAAAGCAGGGAACTGCTGAGGCAACTGCTAGCGAAATACTCAGTGTATGATGAAAGTGCAATCTGAATCATTCTTGGAGTGGGAAGATCTTTCTGGTGATGTAACAAGGTAAGTTGATAATCAATCTTAACGAGGGTAGTGGTCTCAGCAGTTGGGTAGTAACCAGGGAACTGCTGAGGCATCTGCTTAAGTAAAAATGAAGGTATGGGAAGATTGATTATATAGTGTTTGCTTAGGATGATGAGGGCTTTTCTGAAGATGTGCATTGGTCCAAGTAAGTGTGAGTTTTACTGGAGCAGTGGTCTTGGCAGTTGGGAGAAAGTGAGGGAACTGCCGGGGCACCTGCTGGATTTCAGCTTGAGTTTCAGAGATCAGTTTGAACAGACTTCTTAGAGCTAGTGTCGTGAAGGTCTGGTGAAGTTGAGATGTTCAAAGGAAATACTTTTGTGTGAGCAGTGGGCTCAACAGTTGGGTAGTCACCAGGGGACTGCTGAGGCAACTGCTATGCTTTAAGTAAGATTTTCTGAAATCTGATGGAACATCCCTTATAGTTGTGATATTGCAAGACTCTTGTATCTCAAAGAAAGTGAGTTATTAAGCAGTAGGATAAGCAGTAGGGTCAATTAAGACTACTGCTTAGGATTCTGCTGGCAAACTACAATCTTTTATGAGAAGTGTTTGGTGTGTGCTTTGTTGACTGAAAATAAATCAACACACGTACAGTATATCCTGGTTCAGAGGTGGTGTGATCCTCCTACATCCAGTCCCATCCTATTTCAAATGAATTTCACTAATGTATTAAGCCCAATACACTTAGTGACAATCTAGCCTTGACAACTCTGGCCTAGATTGAAAGTGTTTCACGAGGAGTACAACACCACTCCAAGCTACTCAATCCTTTTAGGTTTTTCTCAATTGATCCAGTGGGAATAAAAAGGTATTCCTGACCTATCTAACCACACTCAGGCCGGGAACAACTGTCCTCCTGAAATGTTTACAACAATATGTGATTGGTTTACAAGAAAGTTCTAACCTCCAACTAGGAACTAAACTTCTAGGATTTAACAATTAAGACTTGAGACTAAGAAGTTTAGTGAAGCAAGAGTCTAAGTAGAGAGTAATGTATAGAATAACACTTTCTCTTTTTCTAGATATTTCGTGAATGCTCAAAAGAAATATCTCTCTACTTAGGATGCTCAGGCTTAGTTAGAAACTTTCGTTTCAGCCTCTATTTATAGGCTTTTTGGCTGAACAATCTTATCCATTGGTTAGGATAGATTGATCTCTTCCGTTGAATAATTGGTGTGTACGAGTTGTACTCTTGTCTCTTTGTGCTGAAGTATTTATGGAGGCTGTCTCCAATAATCGACCGAGCATCTTTTTCAAGCATGCGTCCCATGTTGTGGGTCTATGTACCTGTTTTAGCATTTAACACAGGTCTATTTTTGTCTCCAATTATTTTGGCCGATGAAGTATCTTCCTTGTGTGCATCCGACCCCTAGTACTTGATTCGGTTATTAAATACCGGTCAAGTATTGTCTTCAATCATATACATTCAATGTATATGATTTTCAAACCGATCTTCTTTTCGTGACATTTAATTAATCTTTGAGCTCAATAATATTTGCCGGTAGGATCTAAATATCCTATTAAGGTAAATAAAAATTACCTTATTGCATTTTTTACTTTTCCGGTAATATTTATTTAGTCTAAAACATTGTATATTTATTTTTGTCACTTAAATTTAAATGCTATTATATGAGACATAATGTACACGTGCAAAGTATAGTGGCATCATCAAAATCTATCAAAATTGGGTACTAACAAAAATGATATAACTAATACTTATACTCCGTACGTATTTATTATTTGAGAAATTGTCCTAAATAATTAATACTACTTCCGTCCCGCTATGATTGTCCCATTTTACCTTATTGGTCCGTCCCACTGAGATTGTCTCATACCAAATTTGGTAAAGTTTGTGTGACTTTAAATCATTCTTACTTTATTCTTACTTTATCAATTCAATGTCAATCATATAAACCACTTTTTATTAATTTACGTGACACTCCCTCTTGTCCCGTTGTTAGCGGGGCGGAGGGTGTAATTAGTAACAAACTTTAACTCGTAAGGAACATTATATTTATCGTTAAGTTACTCCAAGTGACTACAAGCTCAGATTTGTGACTTGGATCGATTCCCATGAACTCACATGACACTGGTCGATGAACATAGGTCATAGCCTGATATGTCCCGTGAATTTGGAATGTAATAATGCACACCATGTCACGGGACTGAAGATGTGGTCAAACTCTGGTTTTGTATTATGCAGACAGCATTATAATAATGCATTCATGTCTTTACGCTACAATATGCAATTCCAACGTCAATAAACAAAAAAGAAACCCGATGGCACAGATTACCATATTCAAGCAAAATTACAAGACTTGATTCAAGACGATTCCCATTCTAATAAACCATAAATAAATTCACTCTCTTGTGAGAAAAGAAGAAGGCAGTAGATAGAGATTGAAAATGGCGTCCCTTCATCATCTTCAAACATCAAGTTTATTCTTCTTTGGGTTTCTCTGTTTCTGGGTTTTACCATTTACAGAATCATCATCTCAAAGATCAGCACAGGATTTGGATAAGATAGAGTATTTGCCTGGCCAGCCAAACAGTCCCTTAATCACCCAATACTCTGGCTACATCACGGTTAATGAGTCTCATGGAAGGGCCCTCTTCTACTGGTTCTTTGAGGCTCAATCTCAGCCGTCCATCAAGCCTCTTGTCCTCTGGCTGAATGGAGGTTAGTCGTATATGTACGTTAATCCTTTAATGGCAGAATCTTAGATGGCCGGTGGGCCTTTCCTATATATTTTTCTTCCCTCTCAGTTTAAGGTTTCCTCAATCTGGAGTAGTCAATTTAGATTTACGTTAATATCTGATATCTAATTTTACATTAACAATTTTAATCGTTTTAAAAATTTATGAGTCCTGTTTGGTAATATTAAAATCACTAAATCGACCTAATTTGCTAAAATCAATGAAGAGTTACTTGAAGTGATTGAATTGACAGGTAGAATATGCTAAACTATAAAAAAATTCAAATTAAAATATATTTTATGTGAAATTAAGAAGAATAATTCATACTTTTATGGGTTCTACGATAATTACGATAATGATCGAACGTTCATAAAAATAACTCGAACTAGCAATGATGTTCATAACACTAAGGATGTTTTTACTTGGACTGTAATTTGCTAGTCTGGTCTGAACTGGTCTGGTCTAGTCTGGTCTGAATTAGTCTGATCTAGTCTGGTCTGATCTGTTCTGATATGATCTGGGATGAATTAAGTCCAAGTAAAAACATCCTAAATTGGAGTGTTTTCAAACTAATACAGAGTACTAATTTAATACTTCCAACATCTACTCCCTTATTTCCCTTCATGACTCTTGTTCTCGAGATGAAATCAAACTAAAATCCGTTTAAAACTCATTTCCATAATAATAACAGGGTATTAAGATTAAATTTACTTCAATTTATTCTTGTGTATAACATTACCAGTTCAGAGTATTTTTATGAATATCTCAGTATGAAGTATCATTGTATAATTTCTAAAAGTAGAGATTATTTCTATGAATTTCCCCCAAATTTTATTATTGAAATAAAGAAAAAAATTTGAAAATTGTACGTTTAAATGAATTAGAAACGTTCATGACTATGAATCCGAAATCACACTAACATTTTTGTAAGTAAACTGTACCTTTATATCATTGCAGAATAATGTGCTTTATCACAAACACATATGTGTACCGCCGCTATGAATAAATGTACACTCCCTATTTCTTTATTTGGATTAAAATTTTCTGATCTAAGATGACTTAATATGAATTTGTCTAGTAGATAACTAATCTCTAAATATTTGACCACTGACGAGGTATAGTGTAATGACCTAGTCAGTTTAAATTTAGTCTCGTTTGATCTAATTTGTTTATAATTTGTTATGTTTGGTTGATTTGAGACAACTAAAAACATACCTACACTCTCTAAAATCTCTCATAAAAATCATTCTCATTTCTTATCAAGACGGTATACCACATATGTGAATCTGGACACTCACGCTTTATATATTTACTTACTGTTTTGAGGTTCTTACAAAAATGTTATTTTGGTGTACACATGTTTGTACAGACAAAACATTTTTATCTGTTTACATATAATTATAACTAAACCTACACAAACATGTATAAAAGTGTGATATCAAAATAGTGTTTACAGAAAGTATTTTTGAAAATGTTATGCTACATTTGGTAATAACTAAAGGACCGGGTTGCTCATCAATTGGATATGGAGCTGCTTCGGAACTGGGTCCTCTCAGAGTTGAGAAAAATGGGGCTGCTCTCCGATTCAACAACTATTCATGGAATAAAGGTTCCCACTTTTTCCTTATCTAGACGGCTAGACCATATAATTCCGATTTTAATTGGCCTTTCACTTAATTATACGAAATGTAATAATATTTTAGAATTTCCAATTTATGATTGATTGCAGAAGCCAATTTGTTGTTTGTGGAGTCTCCGGTAGGGGTTGGATTTTCTTACACAAACACATCCTCCGATTTGAATCAACTGGACGACGAATTTGTGGGTAAACCCACTACTTTACTTTTTGTGATTTTCCTTGCACAATCCTGGAATTAATTTTATTAATTTCATTTTTGTAATTAAATCACTCTACTTTGATTACACAGCTCAGGATTCCTACAACTTCTTGGTTAATTGGCTAGAGAGATTCCCGCAGTTCAAGGATCATGATTTCTTCATAGCAGGGGAAAGCTATGCAGGTTAGACATGCCTATATATATATAGATCAGACGTACTACACGTACTCTAAGCCTCAAATTTCCTGTTTTGTTTGTTACATTTGTTGTTTCTAACTTGACATGTTTCTATGGAGGTTTTGTCAATGCTACAATGGCATTAAGTGCTCTTCCATGGGCTCAAAACATTTGGATCCACTCTCCCTCAAACATATAAAATATTGTTTAATTCAAATCCACACATGCAGACACATACGAGGTTTTATAACCCCAACTAGCTAGGACCTAGAACATTTTAGAGGAAGGGGGTGGACCTAGGTCGGATCCGCTTTGGGTCTAGCCCATTTCGGTCTGGTAAGTTTAAGTATCTTGATTGAGTAATTTGGGGTCCGGTACACCTGCTAGGGATGGTAGCCATAAGAAATGAATCAAACCGGTACCGACCTGATCCATAATGGTACCTATCTGAATTAACGTGTTCTAAAAGTTCTATATATTTTTATCCCAAATCAAAACTGTACTGTTTGAAACAGAATTTGAACTGATTCTGAATATTGAAAACCGAATCATGCCGGACTGAACTGATCTAAACTAATATATTTGACATTCTTATACTTTGCCCACCCAAATAAAATCTTGTTCAACCCAATATTTTTTAATTATTTATAGCCCAGCATTACTTTTATTTTGGTATTAATTAATGCGACCACATTTCTATTTGAAATTTTGAATGAATACACTATGTCGTGCGCGTAATAAGAATTTTGTGTAAGTTTAATTACTATATGTCTTATTGTTAATTCTAAGATGATGTGCTAATAGGCCTAATACAAGTATTATTAGTTAACATGATTGTTTACTGGACTTCCATTTGTATAGTATTCTTGATAGCTATATCGAATTACCACTAGCGATAATCTAGGGAGAAAGCAGAGCTAAATTAAGAGAAAGATACACGGTATTAATGATCTGTGAACCCTTACAACTGTACAACATAGGGTTATTTATAATGATAATAAATGCTAGATGCATGTACACGTGTAAGTTAATCTATGAGTGAAGCCCTACATAGTATGAGAATATGACATGAAATTTGAAATAGAGCCATCCCGCCTCAATGTTAGTCGTAAATGAGCAAATTTTGAATATTATTCGATTGAATACATGAATATTGAATGCGAGTGAGTATTATTGCTATAAGTGGATTAAGAAATTAGGTTTAATTTAATACATGCATAGGAAGTGTTCCTATTTTACAAAAAAAAGTCCAGTATGTATGTGTGTTTCATTTAATGTTGATATATCAGGCTATCAGCATAAGGTATTAAGGTACCATTATATGAAGGATTTGTGCAATGTAGCTGGCTAGTGACCACAAACATTATTGCATTATTGTTTGATAAATTGCAGGACACTACGTTCCCCAACTCGCTGAAGTTATTTTTGATCGAAACAAGGACAAAAGACCATACCCGCATATAAATCTTAAGGGCTTCATAGTATGTCTTAATCCTATTCCAGTTTTCCATAATGTTCTCAACAATATATTGTAGAGTTTTTATTACTTTTAATCTTGTGAGTATTGTATGAGACTATAGGTGACACTTTTCGTATTCTACTTTGAGTTTTTTCACTTTTAATCTTTCGAATATTGTAAGCAATACACATTTGGTCCTTGACATTGAAATTATCATATATAGTCTTTTGATTAATGTAAAAGTGACAATTAATCTTTCAACTGTTATCATAAATGACATTTCAGTCCCCCACTTATCATGGAAAATCACAGCAAAAAGACTAAAATTGTGACTTTTATAAAAATCAAAGGACTAAATATGAAAATTTCCAAAGACGAATACTAAAAGCGTCTTTGTCAATCAAATGACTAAAAGTGGAACAGTTCAAAGTTGAGTATAAAAAATATCTGATATAATAGTTGGAGGATTAAAAGTGGTACAAACTCGTGTACTGTATTTAGTTCATACTCCGTAAAATGCAGTGTCAAATATACCTCTGAAATAATTGCAGGTTGGGAACCCGGAAACAAATGACTATTATGATTGTAAAGGCCTTTTAGAGTATGCATGGAGTCATGCAATAATTTCTGGTGAGCAGTATTACAAGGCAGAAGCAGTCTGCAACTTTCGAAGCTCTAACTGGTCCGATGAATGCACTGATGCCATGTCTAATGTATTCAGTATGTACGCTGATATTGATATCTATAACATCTATGCTCCTAAGTGTCTTCTCAACGATTCATCGTCAGCAACTACTGATATCAATCTTGTGCCGGATAAGGTGAGTTCTGTACGAAATGTTACCTGAACATGATTATGTGTTTGTTTCGCTGCACTATGTTAAACCTTTTAGTGTCAATTTCTACCAAACACTATCTAAAATTGCCTCCATGAACTAAGTTATTGAAGGAACTCAAGTAAGTAATAACTTAATTATATTAATAGTCAAAGTCATGTATTGACAAACGTGAAAATGATAGAGAGCGGGAAGAGCATGGGGCGGGACCGGGCTTGGGCCCACTTCCGTGGGCCGGGTTAGAGATGTCATTAGAGTTTATTTATTATTATTAAGTTAATTAATGTTAGGTTTTACTTTGGGCCTATTATTAGTAGAGTACTTAGTAGAGTTATTATGGGCTTAATTAGGATTTAATTAATTTGGGCTTGATTAGAGTTTCTCTCAAAAGGCTATTTATAGCCCTTGCCAGGGTTCATTCTATCTTATCTTGGAATAGAATTGGTTTTAGCCTTTTGGATCTGAGCAACGGTATTTTTATCGTTGAATATCTGGGCAACGGTTTACCCCGTTGATTTTATTTTTCTGCTACCCCGTTGATCACGTCCCGCCAGGATGATGAGATCTCAGATCGACCGCTGGACAGAGATGGTCGCCAAGCAAACTCGGATGAATCAAACCCTAGAGGAGCACGGCATGCGTCTGGCGGAGATTGCCGCATCCCTGGTAGCGCTTACCAAGGCGCTAATTCCTCCGGCCATTACGGAAACAAGCCTGGACGCGGTTAGCAGCCCCACCATATCTGCGCACAGCAACGACAGACAACCGTGCAGCGTCACTTCCTCTTTGGCTACGTTTACAGAGGCTCTCGTGCCGCCAGCGGTGGAGGAGCATTCAACGGCGGTGGCTTCACTTGACGTGGCAGCAGCATACTCATTCGGAATTGGACTGTGCAGCACCTTTCTCACGATGTTGCCCTCGTTTAACGGAGAAGAACTGATCAGCTGTGTTGATAGGGCTGAGCAGCAGTTCGATTCGAACTGTACTCCGCCGGGAAAGAAGGTGGCAGCCGTTGTAGTTGCGATGGAAGGGCCAGCCTTATATTGGGTGACCTGGTTACGGGCATGAAAGCCGGTCATGTCATGGGATGAGCTTACACATGCATTGGTGGCTCGTTTTGACTCACGGTTTAAGGGCAATTGCTTTAAATGTCTGCCTGGAGGCAAGCAGACAGGGACGGGGAGGAGTACATCTCAATATTTCCTAAAGATACTGGGCAGCCCCAGGGGACAAATGTGAGCCGGTTTCCGGATTTCAACCTTGAGGACAAGGTTATTTTGAGGGAGGATGGATTGATAGAGAGCGGGAAGAGCATGGGGCGGGATCGGGCTTGGGCCCACTTCCGTGGGCCGGGTTAGGGATGTCATTAGAGTTTATTTATTATTATTAAGTTAATGTTATGTTTTATTTTGGGCCTATTATTAGTAGAGTACTTAGTAGAGTTATTATGGGCTTAATTAGGATTTAATTAATTTGGGCTTGATTAGGATTTCTCTTAGATGGCTATTTATAGCCCTTGCCAGGGTTCATTCTATCTTATCTTGGAATAAAATTGGTTTTAGCCTTTTGGCTAATTGATTATCTGGGCAACGGTTTACCCCGTTGATTTTATTTTTCTGCTACACAATAGAAAATCAGTTCAAGTTATATAGCAAGAAGCAACAAAGGTTTGTCAATACATGACTTTGACTATTAATATAATTAAGTTATTACTTACTTGAGTTCCTTCAATAACTTAGTCCATGGAGGCAATTTTAGATAGTGTTTGGTAGAAACTAGAGGCATGTGCTCATGTGCATTGCCATGAAATTGTAAATACAATGGTGTTTTATTACGTAGTATTATTTTTTGAGCATTATACTAAAGTAACTAAACCAGAAATGTTTAATATCATTAACTATTATCTTCAGGGTCATTCTTATTTCTCACAAGTAGAACAGATATATTCTACTATTGGTCCCCATATTTGGTTTTGATAACTTTTGATACTCCTATATAAGTATCGCATCCACTCCGCAATTGGTCCCCCATCTTTGGTTTTGATAACTTTTGATACATTACTATTATTTTTCGTTCATATATGGTCTTTTTGTCGATATTTCCGGTGATTAAAATTGCCAGAGAGGGGTCGAGAATTTGACAGAAGTACCAAAGATGGGCAGTGAAAGTCATGGACTAAATGTGAAATTGACTAAAACTCGCAGGATCAAAATTGAAACTAATTCCATGTAGAACCATTATCACCGGAACCCTGACACTATATAGATAAATCCAGCTTATTTAACCAAATAGATAGGCGTGCTTCTAGATTTAAATTGAGAATGTAAGAGTAAATGTCTAAATGAGATGTTGTTGGAGTCGTTATTGAGTAATTGTTAATTTGTTAGAAACTCCTCAGGTTCTCTAATGCATGTGTTCCTCTTTTTATTTAAATTTGCAAGTTTGCTTGCTCTTTCACATCCATTAGTTCACAACCTAATGTATCATCAACTCCGTTTGAGGGTCAAAATAAATTGCAGGAAAGAAGATATGGAATGGGGAGCATGAAGGTAATCATCCCCGGGGGTTATGCTCCCTGCTATTCCCCATATGCTGAGGATTACTTCAATAGGATTGATGTTCAAAAGGCTTTCCATGTAAGCTCTATAGTCAACTGGAAAACATGCAGGCTAGTTCCATAAAATATTAAATCCAATCAATTAACTATTATACTAATTTTATTTATATGGAGCCAAAGATTCATTATTTTTTGGCTTGAGATGATGATGGAATAAAGCAAAATGGCTCACTAAATTGTCTGCGCTTCTTTGTTATGGAGCAGCAGTCAGTCCATGCAATTTTGGACGCGATTTTCACTATGGGTCATCCAGAAACAGTCTCTGTGTGCTTTAGTACAGGGGTAAGACTGCACACATCCGACCCCCCCTTACCCCACCGTAAGTGGGAGCCTTTGCGGCACTGGGGTAAATGAAAATGAAAATGAAAATGACTAATTTTATTTATATGCCTTATATAGTAACCCCATACTGCGTTACATTATTAAGTATGAGATCATTAACATTACCTTCCCATCTTTCACTGCAGCGGACATATACTTAATTCATACAATTACAATACCTTTTCCATACTGCCAGTTTATGAAAAGCTAATCAAAGGTGGGCTCAGGATTTGGATTTACAGGTAAGAGAACTTCATGTACTTTTCATTTTCACTTCCCAAGATTGAGAGCATGAAAGGCTGGAGAGGCCAAATGGGCCCATTCAAATTAAAAGTCATGTAGTGCATATGTAAATACATGCATTTATAAATTATAATAGAAAATGTTCAAGTGTGAAGCTTTGATCCCTAGTATAAAATATTAAGCTCCAGATGCCTAGTATTACATTTTTGGTTTTGCCAATGTTCTTTCTTTCATCTGCATATATGTACCGTTTGCGGTGGCGCCCACGGATATGAATTGGACTGGATTAGAAGAATTATTTCACATATATTTTTACACAAATTTTAGTACACTAATATTAAAAGTTTTAGTTTTTCGATTTTGGGGTAGACCGGAGCCTAAGCATTACCCCTTACCTATGCTACGCCCCTGACTATTTGTGTGTGTGCATGTATGATGTCTGTGGGTATAAAAAAGTGGGGACGCTGATGGGAGAGTACCAGTGATTGGGACAAGATATTGCATAGAAGATCTCAAGCTTTCTCTGATTTACCCGTGGCGCTCTTGGTTCAACAATCATCAGGCAAGCCCCATATCTTAGCTCTGTGCGTTTAACAAGTTTATGAATTGATTGTTTGATTCATAAAAACGTTGCAGGTAGGAGGAAGGGTTGTTGAGTACAATGGATTGACATTTGTGACAGTGAGGGGGGCAGGTCATCTTGTACCTCTCAATCAACCGAGTGAAGCTCTAGCACTTGTACATTCCTTCTTGTCTGGTGAAGAACTCCCAACCCATAGATGACAAGTTCAAATAAGCACCTGAGCTTAAAGTTCGAATTTAGCCTGCCATTTAACCGATTTAATGGCTATTCTTAAAGTTCGAATTTAGCATGCCATTTACATGAACAAATCTATAAATATTTAGTTATTCTTGCTTTAGTTGTAATTGTAAAGTGATACTATAAGTATTAATATAATGACTCACACCCATCAAGAGTGATATTCTCACATGGTATCAGTGTATAGGTTATCCCTAACCTAATGTTTGTAGCTCCTCACCTTCTCTACTTTCATATGTGGTATAGGTTATCCCTAACCTAATGTTTGTAGCTCCTCACCTTCTCTACTTTCATATGTACTTACTGCCGTTCGTTGTTCTTCTCTGATAATGGCTGAATCAGACAACTCCGTCCCTTATGCCATTATCATTCTTAAGTTAACTCTCAAATTGTCGTCCACTAATTATGATCTCATATGGAAGACTTAGTGCAGACCCCTCTCCAGAGTCAAAGATTATTTGGCTTTCTTGATGGAACTAAACCAAACTTCTTTTCCATCCCCTATTGACATGGACATTGTCAAGGCACAAAAAGCTTGGGTCGCTCAAGATCAATGCCTTCACAACCTGCTTCTTTGCTCGCACTCGAAAGAATCCATGGCACCCATGCACCCTCAATTGTATGTCTAAGCGACACCACAAGTGGTATCTTCTGGATGGAGTACAGGAAGAGCCGAAGATCTAAGAACATGGCTTTCTTGGTTGGACAAAGCCATGTTGTGTTCTATTGGTCCGGCTTTGGATCGGTTTATTGTTTAGATTTGGGTGCGATTCATGTGATGGCAGAAACAAAAAAATGGGTTAGGGGTGTCTCACTGTCTCTTGTGATATTGGCCTGCCTTAGATGTCAAGAAGTTTCAATCCCAAGTTGTTTAAGTTTCTGAGTGATTTTAGATTTGTATTTTATGTTAGTTCTAATGTTTTCTGTTTCACGTTTCTGAATTTGAGTTGGACGGTTGTTTGATGCGTGTTCTTTTAGTTTTTACCAACCAGTTCTAAGTCCAAGAGGGCGATAAAGAAGCTAAATCGGTCAATGATGGCTTATAGTTTTCCGTATTGTAGTTAGCCAGACCGTGTTTCTATGTGAGTGATTGGCTCTTTGTTAGATGACTTCATCCAAGAGGTAGTGATCAAGAAATTGTTTTCTTCACTTTGATATCAATGTTTCTGATTTGAATTTTTTTAGTTCTGAACTAACCTGATCTGATCTGAATCTTTCTGTTTTGATCTGAGGTGAATCTTTTTGATTTGATCTAAATTTTTCTGATCTGATCTGAATCCTATTGATCTGATCTAAATCTTTCTGATCTGATCTGAATCTTTTTGATCTGATTTGAATATTTGTTAAAATTAAAATTATAATTATAGTTATTATAATATAATTTAAATATAATTATTATAATAATTCTAATCATAATTATAAAAACTTATAATTATAATCATAATTATAATTAAAATTCAAATTACAATAGGTATAATTATTATTATACCTATTACACTAATTATAATTATAGCTATAATTATAATTGTATTTATATTTTTAATTATATTTATTTCTATAATAATAATTAATAATAATAACTATTATAAATATTATAATAATAAAAGGGATGAATCGTACCTAAAATTTCTGATCTGATCTGAATGTTTCTGATCTGGTCTAACATGATCTGAATCTTTTTTATCAGATATGAATGTTTATGATCTAATTTGATCTGAATCTTCCTGATCTGATTTGATCTGAATTTTTTGATCTGATCTGATCTGAATAAAATAAAAATAGGCAATAATTAATAAGAATAAGACAAACAGAACAACTTTCAAGTCATGGTTATTTGTCTTGGTATATTCTGAGGATCAAATTAATTTAATATGTCTTTTATAATATAAAAGATTAAAGATATACATAACATTTTTTCTTAATATCTATGTAATTTTTGGAGTAATATTAGGTTTGTATTTTCGGTTTTTCAAATACATAATTTTTAATTTCTGACTGAATTGGTTGAAATTATTGTAGGAATGCATCACAAAATTTATTTCGTATTTTTTTCTTTGTCTTATTAAGTTGATATATTTTGAATATTTTTTTTTTATAATTCAGAAGATTCAATCAATTCAGCAACTTCCACCAAAACTTCATCAAATTTAGTAGAATCAAAGAATTTCAGTATTAGCAAACAGGCTCTTAAAGACGAGTTAAGTCAGCCCGTTGTAAACTTGTAGAAACAACTTTTACCAATTCTATAATGAAAATAAAATGGAGGAATTTTAATTAAAGCTAGGTTGATTGCACGCCGTGATGGTTCATAGTTTTCTTTTTTCATACTCCCTCCGTCCCAAAAAGATTGATACATTTTGACTTTTCTTGGTCAATGATGTTTAAGTTGACCAATGATATCTTTTAATACAAAATTATTTAAAATATGAAAATTATATGAACATTTATTCTTTATTAAAAAATCTTAAATAAAAGTATAAAATTTATAAATTACAAACAAATATAATACCTAAAATCATTGTCTAAACTTTTCCACCATTGACCAAGAAAAGTCAAAATGTATCAATCTTTTTGGGACAGAGGTAGTATTATTTTTTCTTTAGTTTAATAATAAAATACTCTCTATGTGTTAAATGTGATTTTTTTCACAATTTAAAAAACTACACAGATTCAAAATTCAACTAATTTCAGTGTTATGAAATGAGCTCTAAAGTTATATATCTGAGAGTTAGATTTTTTGGAGGGGAAAGTGGGGATGCGGAGGGTTGAATAGTTTAATTACAAAATTCTAAAGAACGATTTTGAAAGGTTCTTGTTGTTGGAAAAATGTGTTAAAAATTCCATTAAATGGTGATTTTGGGGCAATATTTGAGTGGGGTTCACTTTCGATTTGGGTCGGGTCAAAGTGGTTTCGGGTTGTCCTTGTTAAGGGCTACAATTCGATGTATGGTACACTCAAAACGGATAACGGGTGAATGAAAAATTGATTCTCGAAGTTCAATTTCCAGAAACATTTTCAATTTCCAGAAAATGTTTTGATGCTCAATAATCTTGTTTCCAGAAACGCAACAAAGGCCTAGGGGTTCTGTTGTGCGCAACAGAATACCTCGAGGTGTTCTGTTCGCTTCGGAACCAGAAGGCTGCGTGGTGTTCTGTTGCGCAACAGAAGACCTCGATGTCTTGGTCTTCTGGTCCGTTACATGACTTAATGCCCAACGTTCTTCTCCATTAATGTGCGCTTTAAATGGACAGTTTTCGACATATTAATGCCCAACGTGCTGGACATTTATGTGCAACGTTCAGGTCCATTAAAGCTCAGTTAACACATAACAAATCCTCCTATAAAAAGCTGATAGGTGCTTTGCAACAAGAGACACATTCACAAACGAACTCATTCACTTTTTGAGCTCTCGAAAAACACTGCTAGCATTCTGAAAATTTCCTTCTGTGTTCTACTTTGTTCCCATTCGCCGGAACTCTCATTTGTGTGCTCAAACGTTAGTTCGTAAGCCACCGTATCCTGGGAAACGGTTGTTGCAACGCTCCTAGCACCGTGGGAGGCAACGAATACGTTTTAAGGACATCGTGCGTAGCACGAGCTCTGGCTATTTTCTGCTCTATCTTATTTCTGTTTTCTTTAGCTATTTTATTTATTAATTAATTAATTTTTATTAATTAATATTTCTACGTTTTTTCGAGACACACCCAACACTTGTAACCCTTCAAAACTTTTCAAATGAACTTTTAAGTTCTTCCAAATTGAGAGCTTTTTGAAGGATAACAATTAAATGATAATTTTAACTCAATTTAAATTGAATATAAGTTCATTTATTTAAATTCACTCAAACTCCCAAACATACTCCAAAAAGAAAGGACTATAGTACTCCGTAATTCATAATGAATTTATCAGACCTTCAATTCATTCATTAGAATTTACAGTCCGCAGGTGCTTGGGTGATGTGCGTCGGCGTGACTTTATTTAACCAGTCTTTAGCCACCATAGCCAATAAATTAACGGATTATGTCGTATGAATAATTTCAACTATTAGTGATCTTGTTATATTGATCTCAAATATGCGTAATTCTAGAATAATATGAAAATCATATGATGGATGTTGTACACTATATAGCCAGTGGGTATTTTCGTAATTTAGGTGAAAATCGTGGTTTCTGTTAAATGAGCATTAACACACTTTTATATAGTATCAGACCTATTTTGATGAGTATTAAGAGTCTAATATTGAGCATTGTGATATCTGATTCATATCTTCTAATTCACTTTCGTTTTCTCATTTTTCTTTTATAAGAGTTTCTTAAATTATATTTATAATCAACTTCTATGAATTTCAATATGTGAATCTAATTTTATATTGAAATATGCATTGATATGAAAATCTTAACCTCTGCTAATTGAGTATCAAGACATTTTCATTGAACATCAAGCTCCATCTATTGTGCATAAGAACTCTGCAAATGAGTATTAATTAAAATTTCAAAACCTCATTTGAGCATCAAAACATTTTCATTAAGTATCTTATTCTATACTATTGAGCATCAAGATTATGTGTATTGAGCATTAGACCTCTCAAATTGAGTATACAAAATTTCAAAACCTCATCTATGTATCAAAATATCTTCAATGAATATCGCATTCTCGACGGTTGAACATCCAGACTATGTATATCGAGCAATGGATCTCTACAAATATTAAATATAATAATTTCAAAAGCTCATTTGAGCATCAAAACATCTTTATTGAGTATCATGTTTTTTACTATAGAACATTGAAATTATGTGAGTTTGGTCGGCATTGATATGACTTTTTATAATGAGTATAACACCAGTAGCGAATGAGTATACATAATTTACAAAATAAGCATCGAAATGTTTAAAGCTTATTTAAAATATCCAATGTGCTCAAATATTCCTTTTTGTATGTTCACTTCTTTTAAGCGTTATATCCGTTTGAGTTTAACATATAGCTCATTTCCATAATATGCACATATAATACAATCATTATTAAAAATTTACTAAACTATCAAAGGAAAGATCTTTCTACGTAACTAACATAAGAAGCAAACAAAAAGACGAGACGAATACAGACTCAGCTTATTTTAAAAGCTTATTTAAAATATCTAAATGGCTAGCTGAATTAATAAGATCTGTATA